GATGTGGGGCTTAAACTCACAAACCACAAGATCATGACCTGAGCAGAAGTCTGACGCTTAACGGACTGAGCCACCCAGGTGTCCCAACATTGTATCCTTTATAATGAAACCGTGACTGTTAAGTATAGCACCTTCCTGGGTGCTATGAATCATTTCAGGGAATTACTGAACTCCAGGCAAATGGTGGAAATGCCCAAATTTGTAGTCATCCAAGCAGAAGTATGAGTAGCCTAGAGCCCCCACTTGCTGATGGCATTTGAAGTGGGGGGCATTCTTGTGGGACTGAGCCCTTAACCTATAGGATCTGCGCCACCTCTAAGTACCTATTATCAGAATTGAATTGAAGAGTAGGACACCCATGTGGTGTCAGAGAATTGCTGCTGGAACACGTTTTGAGCTAGGACATAATACACTTCCCTCCTTCTCCATCCAAGCTGTGGCTTCGTAGTACTACCACAGTTCCAAAGTCAAGATCGTGACACAGAATACCGGCTCAGAGGCTCAGGCTTGGAGCCCCTTTGCACATACATAGCCTGACGGTAAGAAAGTCCCCAGTGGGGCAAACCCATGGATCTCACGGGGAGAACCATCCCAACCAAAGGTTCCATGTCTCACGAGCCAATCCAAAATCTGCCCAAGGTTGAAATCTGTGATTCTACAGAAGTTTGAGATCTTAGACTGAGTAACCTCAGCCAGCCTGAGGAGGCAGATCGGACTTAGACGCAGAACCAGAGGGTGGAGGGAGGAAATGGTAGAATAAACACAACCCTTTGTAATGTCAACACATACATTGAATTAGAAATTAGTCTTTCCTTCGGGCACCTGGCAAAACATACGACTCTTTTTTTCTTTTTTTTTTAATGGTCTATTTAGTTTTGGGAGAGAGAGAGAGAGACAGACAGAGCATGAGCAGGGGAGGGGCAGACAGAGAGGGAGACACAGAATCTGAAGCAGGCTCCAGGCTCCGAGCTGTCAGCACAGAGCCCAATGCAGGGCTCGGCTTTGTGAACCGCGAGATCATGACCCAAGCTCAAGTGGGCCACTCAACCGACTGAGCCACCTAGGCACCCCAAAACATACGCCTCTCCACATTGGGGTTGTGAGTTCAAGCCCCATGTTGGGCCTAGAGCTTACTTGAAAAATGAAACGGTGAGGGGCGCCTGGGTGGCTCAGTTGGTTAAGCGTCTGACTTTGGCTCAGGTCATGATTTCACAATCCGTGAGTTCGAGCCCTTCTGACAGCTCAGAGCCTGAAGCCTGCTTCGGATTCTGTGTCTCCCTCTCTCCGACCCTCCTCCGTTCATGCTCTGTCTCTCTCTGTCTCAAAAATAAATAAACATTAAAAAAAAAAAAATGAAACGGTGGAAGCAATCAAATGTCCTTCAAAAGAGGAATGAATAAACAAACTGTGGCATATCCATGTAACGAAATGGTCTCCAGCAACAGAAAGAAATGAGTTATCAAGCCACGAGAAAACATGATAGAAACTGAAATGCATTTTGCTTCGTGTAAGGATGTCTGAGAAGGATACATACTTTCTGATTCCAACTATTATGACATTCTAGAAAAGACAAAACTATGGGGCGCCTGGGTGGCTCAGTCGGTTAAGTGTCCGACTTCAGCTCAAGTCATGATCTTATACTCCGTGAGTTCAAGCCCCGCATCGGGCTCTGTGCTGACAGCTCGGAGCCTGGAGCCTGCTTCGGATTCTGTGACTCATTCTCTCTCTGCCCCTCGCCTCTCACTCTGTCTCTCTTTCAAAATAAACATTAAAAAAAATTAAAAATATCGCTTCTCGGCCTTTTGGCTAAGATCAAGTGTAAAAAAA